GCAGCCTAGCATGGATAGGAGCAGGGAGAGCAGAATACCCCCCCTAGGGTAACAGAACAGAACCAACATCAATGATAAATGTAGCAGATACCATTAATGTTCTACGTGATTATTTTAACAACATGATTCAGTGGTCTGACTCAATGATATATTCACTGCCAAGTCCTGACTGGACGAGAGGAGGAGCTGGGGATGGAGGTGGGTGATTAGTTCCTGAGCAAAGCGATAGCTGCTGAATAATGACTGAAGGGACCTTATGAAAGGAATTATGATTGGTGTCGTGATCCTATAGGTAGACGTGGATCAGCTGAGTGTCAGCTGATGCGAGCTTGACTAACATGGCCTGCCAGAACTATAGCTACGCTCCATTTCTGTCAGGACCACTATCGTCAAAGATAACTTACAATTAGCATACATTTTAGGTTGGGGGTATGGTTCTGTTCTGGGCAAACACTCCCTGCCCATCCACGCAGCCTAGCATGGATAGGAGCAGGGAGAGCAGAATACCCCCCAAAACAACCATATGCTGAACCCCCCAACCAAAATGCTGATAGCAATCTAACTGAATGCCTTACGGAAGGAGAGTGGCGGCTAAGGGGTGCTCTTCTGCTTTGAGCAGGTAGGAAGAGCAGCTTGCCCCTTCGGGAAGACAGTGGCAGCGAAGGGGTGCTCTTCTTTATAATCAGCTAAGAGGAGCAGCAAGCCCCTTACCGGTGGAGTGTAACATCGAAGAGGTGCTCTTCTTAATAGCAGCCAAGAAGAGCAGCAAGCCCCTTTTTAAAGCAACCTGAAATTAAGATGCAGAATCCACTAGATTGCAGCCTAGTTGCCAGTTGTAGCAAACACTGCGTACTGCAGCCGTAGAGCAAGCAATGGCAGGTTTAGAGATCGCAGATTCTACCTAGCCTAAGCTTAGCATCCATAACACGGCATATAGCTCAATAATTCAAGTCATGTTTATCCAGCACTGCAGAAACACCCGATAGCCTAAAGGCTGATTTATACTCGACGCGTCCGCAAGTTTGCTTGGGTACGTGCGGCAAATATGACGTCATCGCAGTGTTGGCGGAGGTTCGCTTTGAGTGCGCGCAACGTTGTTTCGCGTGGTGGTGTGCACAACATTTTTGTAACTTTCCGCGCAGCTCCCCGCGCCCCTGGCATTGATACAACTTACGATATTACGATATGATATGCGCATAAAGTATCAAGCACATTACCGATACACTAGTTAGCTTGAGCAATAGCATATCACTGACTTAAACACAGCATGTTGGAAATAGTCGGATAAGTTTAATGAAAGCATCCCCAATAGATGAGGCTGAAGCAGCAAGCCTGTTTCATATCGACAGCCTTGACAACAGATTAAAACAAGGCTTGCTGGTAAATTTAACTGGTAATGTTACCAGTGTGACAATACGATAGCATGCCTAGCAAACATAACTGAACAACTAGCCTTAGACAATGAGCAATATCTGAAGCATGTTCGCCAACATAGCATTAGGCAATAAAATGAAAGAAACGTTGCTTAGCTTCGTGAAGACATCCAGAGATGAATAAAGGTGAAATGGCCAGTTGTTACGTGGATGCTTTAACCCTTCTTGAATATCTTGCTTCTTCCAGCGGGGAAGCAGATCTCGTGTAAAGTTGTTGGTGCAGTCGTATTAGCACAACTTCGGTGATGAATTGCGGGCAAAGTGTCTATATCAATTGCGAGGAGCCGTGCTCGCTCAGATCACTTCAGTCTATCGGCTTGACAAACAACGCGGCGAATTTGCTTAAATTCACAACTTTAATCTGGTGAGATACTCTGTGGGAATCCTGTCGAAAATCCAGATTAAACGCTTCCTATGGAGATGGAATTCGCCGTCTGATTAGTTCCTGAGCGAAGCGATAGCTGCTGAATAATGACTGAAGGGACCTTATGAAGGGAATTATGATTGGTGTCGTGATCCTATAGGTAGACGTGGATCAGCTGAGTGTCAGCTGATGCGAGCTTGACTAACATGGCCTGCCAGAACTATCGCTACGCTCCATTAGGTCATCCGGGTATTCCATGCATACAGAAAATTTGCATATTATGCACAGTATACAGTACATACTGGATACTGCAGAAATAGTAAGAGTAGTATGATAGTATGGCATTTCAAACACAGCATAAGGCTACCGGCAGGTGAGTTTTTTTTTTTAAGGGCTGGAGCTAAACTCTGCAGGACACTGGCACTCCAGGAATGACGTTGCCTATCCCTGATGTATGGTATAGCTGAAATATAACCAAATTGAAATGGCTTTGCTATCATGCGCATTACAGATTAACAAAATATTCACACGACTTTATTGAAGTCAACCCAAATCATGCAGTCTACACCAGGATTTAAAAGAAAATAAATAAGTGCTGCTGTTAGAGAATACAATCTGTGCAAGTTCATTTGTGTTTACAGGGTTACTCACTGGAAGAGTCACGTCGAGTCATGCCACGTCTTTAAAATCTGATTTTGAAGGCTACGTCCTCCAGATGTCGCATTTGTCAGCTGCATTAAGGCTGCCCCATTTCACAAAATAAACCATCTCATTCCAAAGTACAAAATAAATTACAGTAATTTATGCTCCACAAAGAATAGCAGTCAGTTTTATAATGCTTCCATTTCTGAAATTACACATCCTTGATGATGTATCCCAGCCAACAAACTTATGTGGGGCCCAGATGGGTTGTATCTGGGCTATCTAACTGGGGCCCAGCCAGTTTTGTCCTCAGTGTCCATGAAGGCCCCACATGGATCAGCCCAGATGAGATAATGAAATGAACACTGCTCAGTATGCATACTATTTTTGGTTGTATTAAGTAGTTTGGATGTATTAAGTATTTTCTCAAACTAATAAAACTAATCACTGAAACTAACTTCTGGCCTGTGACTGGTGGATTGGCGCTGTGGGTTTGCAGTTGGTAAAGCATCAGAGTTGACAAAAGTCTTTGGCATAGTGTTTTGTTTTTAACTCGAAATTTCAAACTAATGGACGGCTCTTTGGTCATCATTTAAGTGAACTTCTGCCTATCGCGGTCGGTGTGCGACATGAGTTTGTCCTGGACGCCCTGCGCTTCTCGTCCGCCTTTATAGTTTCCACCGTGATCGTTGCTCTCTGGCCCGAAGCGAACAACTTTGACGTGTTTGAGTTCGACATAAGATCTGTTTAGACGTTAAGTCCTCACATTACAGCCATGAAACGTTTTAACAAACTTACCGTGACAAGTGCAGTTATTTTTTTAGATTTCGAGTCCTCCGAATTGGCGTCTCTGATTCAATCACTTTCGGTTTCACTTTAGACGACTTCCGCATAAAGCTACCAGCTCCCCAAACTGAAAGTGAAGATGTTCGGCTACGTGCTACGCTTTTGTTCTGGACACTAATATAGCTGTTATTTAATTAAATTAAATTGCTATTGCGAACATCAAAAGGAAAATCCAGCAAGATTATATCAGACTTGTATCATGATGAATCAAGTTAAGCTATTATTGTCAATGTACAAGAACATCAAGATTTATTTTAACTTCGGCAGCTACAACTGCTGATAACAGAAATAACATGGGCATAAATGACAAATTAAACAGAAAAACATAGCCTAATACGAATGTTTTCCTGAAATACCCCAAAATACAACCACTATTTTATTGACTGACTCATACATAGGCTATTTTTACTTTTTTTTACATCTCAATTTACCTAAAAATATATAAACAATAAAATAAAATATTAAAATACTGATTGATTCAAATCTGGTATTTCACAATTGCTCATATACTCTGATATATATTATCATGGAAATTCTTAATACACAGACACTCAATCTGACTTGGGGTGTTTGGCAACCTCGTGGTCTAGACCCAACCTAATGGTGTCCCGTCTGAAGAGCAAGTAAACTAACAAAACTGAGCACAGAATCTTTAATATTTCTATCTTCTAATTATTTCTGCCTATTCCAAGAAAACAATATTTACAGTCAGACTGTCTCTAGCACTTCTCTTCTACTTCATGCTGCAGCATAACCACATTCCCAGATCTCTCTTTGTAGAAACAAATGTTTATTTAGTTTATCAAAAGTTTATCTCTGGAGTCATACTCCCCGAACAGAAGAATACACACGTATTTAAAGTATAAAGTGTCAGTAATGTTACATGATACATTTTCTGATGGTTACATTCAGCTATGCAAAGTCACATGACTGTCTTTCACAGGATTAATCATTCTACAGTCTAGATTACACTGTAAAAAATGCCAGGAATTTACAGGATTAAAGACTATTATTTTACAATATTTTACTGTAGTCAGAAATTTGCTGTTAAATCAATGCATGCTGGGTCATTTTCTTACAAATGACTGTGAATGAACAGCAGAATGATGTTAACATCAGAAATTTACTGTTTGTGTTGTTGGTTTATTATGCAATTGTAACCGGCCCCACACTGTCACTGTTACGGTCTGCCTTGTGTTATAAATGAAGAGATGGATCACGGGAACTGCTACTGATGGAGGGTTTATTAACATGGAGCATGCAGATGCTGGATGGAGTAGAGAGAGAGTACAACGAGAAATGTTTTCGTTCTGTGATTTTTTTCCACCTCTCCTCAGCGTGCTCAACGCGGTCTGAGTGAACATCACAATGATAACAATAAAAATACAGTGCAAAATAAATTGTTACAAACATTTATCCAAATATATGATATAATCTTCTGCAGCCAATTTTAAATCAACCATGAATTAGAATTGATGAATTGAACAAAGCGATACAACATGAATAGAAAATCAAATGAACAATAAACTATACCTGGATGGAGTAGAGAGAGAGAGTACAACAATGAGAAATGTTTTCGTTCCGTGATTTTTTCCACCTGCACAGATTAAACACCAGTTAATCAATTAGCAAAAATCACCGTGTTCTGCTGACGCACATACATATACTCAAATCGCTGTAACACTCTTAACAATAATATTTTCGCATATTAGGTACTTAATAAAACTTCTGGTAACTTTTACAAGCTTATATTGAAGAAGCACCGCTAACTACCTACCTCTCCTCAGCGTGCTCCACGCGGTCTGAGGTAGTGATGGGTCGTTCTTGAACGATTCGTTCATTTTGAACGAATCTTTAATGTGACTCGGGAAGAACGAGTCGTCTCGGGGAGTGATTCGTTCAGTCGCGCATGCGCAACATCCTATAGGTTCTGTACTGGAATTAGTCAAGTAGTTCACCTGGTTCGAGTCTTCGGGTTTGAGTCGTTTGTTCATCACGTGACAGACCCATAAATTTAACCAATGCAGTCTGAGCCGGAAAGAGAATTAATAATAATAACCAACTCTTTATTACCTTTGTTACAACATTCAGTGTTATGGAAAAGAACCATCATGACAGAAATTCACACATTTATAAACTGTAAGAAGTAAAAAGCTACAATTTGAGACCAGAAACGCATCACGTAACTGTAAGAGTAAATAATAATGATGATAATAATAATAATAACTATGCACCCGTTTGTAACGAAGTTTGTAAATTAACTAATTTCTCTATCCAATGCTGTCACGTCACGTGACAAAAGAACGAATGATTCGAAAGACTTGAGAGATGAACTAATCAATTCTCTTTCCGGCTCAGACTGCATTGATTAAAGGTGCGTTCGACTTCATGCGGCGCCGCGCAAACCGATCGGCGGCTGACTTGAAGCAGTGCATGCCGGTTAGAAATTTTATCCGACTTGAACCGGCGCCGACACTGTCACGTGTGGCATCAAAGTACCGCGATATCCTTTCGAGAGCAGCCGGCTGACTCAGCTGGTGCAGCTTTTTCAGAGCAACGCACCTTAAGTGTATGGGTCTGTCACGTGGTGAACGAACGACTCAAACCCGAAGACTTGTTAGATTAGAGGTGAGGTGAGCTAATCATAGACTGAAGACCCAGGTAAACAATGAATTAATCTTTTCTGTTTCTTATAGCAGTTTGTTTGTATTGCTTGTAGTGTGATCAACGTAGTAAACGTGTTAGGGAAGTAACACATAACATTTTAATTATATTTTGCTAAAATGAACGAAATTACTCGGAAAAAGATTCGTTCATTTTGCTGAACGAGACTCAAAGGTCCGAGTCGATAAAATGATCCGAACTTCCCATCACTAGTCTGAGGACGCAGCGCGGGCTGAACAGAAATTACGTCACGACGTAAAATGAATATAAAACTATTTTCCCAAAAATGACACAAATAAAGTGCAAAATGAAATTATCACGTTTTCGTGAACAACTAATATAAAGTAAATACATGAAAATTGAAAGGAAGGATCATTAGTGAAATACATTAATTTAGATCGTGAGTGCACACTCTTATTAACATCCGTCACATAATGTTGGTTTCTGTTGTAAGTGTTGTTTTTATTTGTCGAGTGTTACCATTGTTGTGTTTCGTATGTCGAGGATGTCACATCTTTCAAAGATCTTTCTCAGCAGTTGCTTGTGAAACATCCACCCACAAACAGTTATGAATATGAAATAAATTGTTGATTAATCTTCATGCTTAATGCTAAAATAAAATATTCATGTTCATGCTAAGAACAGTTCGACTAACTCAAAATCAGGCAACTAGCTTTTTTTTATATTCTAACTTAAATGTTTTCATTTGTCACACTTCTGATATGACTAGATCAGAAATTTGAATATGAATATGCAAGGTCAAAGAGCCCAAACAAATGAGATCACCAATCACCATTATGGTGACTTCAAAACAATTACAGTACAGTAGTAAACAACTACATTTCTCACAGTGGCACAGATAAAGACAACTTTATAATGTGAATTCACAGTAAAACAAGAGCAATAAATGTAAACAGTATCAAAAGCATCCGGTAAAACTTCTTGCCATTGTCTCCTTCTTGAATGCTTCCGACATGGCTGATGTGCACTGCTTCTTTCAAAAAAAATAAAAAATAAATACTCAATTGTAACTGTCACAGTGTGCCTACTGTGAAGGAGTGAGGAGACGAAGGAGAATCATCACAGACTTTATTTAACATTCAAAGAAAACCACACGTAGGACACGGGGATAGACGATCAATACCGGACGGGAAACGAGGGGCAGAAAACACTTTAAATACACTGAAACTAATGGGACACACCTGGGAACAATGGAACAGAACGGGGAACACCTGGAACAAATGGAACCTGGAAGGAAACACGCACAGACACGGAATAGAGTCTGACAGTAACTTATTACCAAACATTACTTGTGTAAAATGGATTTTCCCCCCATATTCACATATACCTTCCATGTGTCATTTTGGATAAGAGCAGATTCACCCACCAACTCCTCAGAGAAAGAACTTCCAGGGCCGCGGCTCTGCTGCTGACCCTGTACCGCACCAGCATTCATTTGTATTGTGTTTGTTTGTCGATTTATTTTATTTTTAAGTTTTATGAGGTTGAGTTTGTTCTGGGTTGGAACTTGAGTAAAACGAAATCGTTAATGCTTGCTAATCGTTTGAAATGGAGATTCTTAAGCTAGCATTGCTTCTGTGCCTGGCAGTTGGCCTGATAAACTGTGTGCATCTGATGGTGAGCAAGAGGCTTATATACACGAGGGAGGATTTGTTATCCATGGTGTATCACGGCCCTGTTGAGGATAAACAATTTCAAGAGGCCATACATGATATAAGGCGAGGATTCCATTTCCATGGATCAGTTAAGAATAAATCTAAGAAAAGAGGATCCAGAGGAGGTGTGAAACAACGGGTCAAACGCTTAGAAAATATACCTCCACTGCCGGTGATCACGTTGATTAATGTCCGCTCAGTTAACAACCCAGATAGCACACGTACGTCTGCAAGATGTCAGTTAAAGATCGCTTGATCTGGAATGCATCTGCTGTGTACAAACATCTGATAGACGTCTTTAAGATATCAGTTTTACATTCATTCTAAATCACAAACATCTTAAAGACATTTTCTAAACGTCTATTTGACATCTGATAGGAAACGTCCTATAGACGTATTGCAGATGAGCAAACACTCTAAAATACGTCTTGCAGATGTAAATGCAGACGTCAAATAGACGTCTCCGCGATGTACATGTGCTATCAGGGAATAAGTTGGATGAATTGGCTGCTAAAATGGAATTTGACTGTGATTTTAGAATGAGCAATCTTCTTTGCCTAACAGAAACTTGGTTAAAAAAAAACAGCCGAATCCTACGTTAAATGGATATACTACCATCAGAGATCAGGATAAATCACGCAGGTCGGTTGGAGGTGGTTTATGTATTTTTGTCGATAATAAATGGGCTAAGGATTTCTGTATCAGGGTGAAGATTTGCACCCAGGACATTGAAATTTTAACTGTGTCTTTTAGACCCTTTTATTTGCCAAGAGAATTTGGTCAAATAACTATTATATAGACTAACGTTCCAGGTCCGAATATGGAAATAGCTGCTGAAAGATTAGCGGAGAGCTATAATTGTGCTCTCTCCCGGTCTACCGAACAACCGGTTTTTATTTTAGATTTTAATATGTGTAGTTTGTCTGATTATCTACCCTCATTGCAGCAATATGTAACCTGTCCAACTCAATCCACCCGCACCTCGGACCATTGTTATGGAAATGTTAAGAACGCATACACAACTTTGTGTCGGCCACTTTTGGGACAATCTGACCATAATGTTGTACATCTGCTACCTAAATACAGAAGTAAATTCAAGCAGAAAGCAGTGGTCACTAAGGACATTCAGGTATGGACGAATGACTCTGTAGAGCAGCTCCAAGACTGTTTTGATCATACGAACTGGGATTTGTTTTTTAGCACTGGAAAGGATATGAATGAAATAACAGACACAATCTCATTTTATATACAGTTTTGTGAGGAAAACGTGATTGGGACCAAAACAGTCAGAATTTTCTCTAATAATAAGACATGGGTTACCAAAGACTTGAAAAGGTGTTTGAATGATAAAATGAGAGCATTTTGTAGAGGTGATTTTATTAAATTTAGAGAGTGTAAAAGAGTTATTAGGGGTAAACTGAGGGAAGCTAAATTAAATTAGATAAGACAATTTTACAACAGGGAATGTTCGGCAAGCGTGGGGTGGTCTTGAATTTTATGATGGGTAGGAATGATAAAAGGCATAGTAATCCACCACTTATTATTCTGTACCTATTAATGATATGAATACATTTTTTAGAAGATGTGATACAGAGGTAAGCAGTCTTAACTGCAACAGTATATGTCAGACCATCACATATTGCCCCCCTATTAATTAGTCAGAGTTAGATGTGGTTGCTTCCATTTCTAAGATAAAACCTGGTAAAGCCGGGGGGGGGGGGGGG